GGCTCCTTCCACACACACACCTGGAATGATGGGAATGGGACGGGATGGGAATGGAGAAGGATTGGGGAACCCTCCCCTCCCGAGGGGCCCCTTCCAGTCACACCTGTGGGAATGGGACGGGAATGGGGATGGAGCAGGATCAGGGACCCCTCCCCTCCCAAGGGGCCCCTTCTGGTCACGCCCGCGGGAATGGGACTGGGAATGACTGGGAATAGGACTGGGAATGACTGGGAATGACTGGGATTGGGACTGGGAATGACTGGGATTGGGACTGGGAATGACCAGGAATGGGACTGGGAATGACTGGGAATGACTGGGAATAGGACTGGGAATGACTGGGAATGACTGGGAATGGGACTGGGAATGACTGGGATTGGGACTGGGAATGGGACTGGGAATGACTGGGATTGGGACTGGGAATGACTGGGATTGGAACTGGGAATGACTGGGAATGGGACTGTGATTGGGACTGTGATTGGGACTGGGAATGGGACTGGGAATGACCGGGAATGGAACTGGGAATGGGACTGGGAATGGGACTGGGAATGACCGGGAACAGGACTGGGAATGACTGGGACTGACTGGGACTGGGCCCGGTCTGGGGGTCCCACCTTCTGGGTGACGTCGGTGCCGTTCCTGACCCCCTCCTCCAGCAGCACCTGGAACACTTCCCGCAGGAATTCCTCCCCCGCCGCGTTATCCAGGCCCGGCTCGTCCAGAGGGATCCCCTCCCACGGCCCAGAGGGATCAGCCATGGCAATCCCGGGATTGGCTGCTCCTGGAATGGGCTTCTCCTGGAATGAGGTGAGCCCGGGATGAGCCTCTCCTGGGTGATCCCGGGATGAGTTTATCCTGGGATTAGGTGATCCTGGGATAAAGTGATCCTGGGATAAAGTGATCCTGGGATTAGGTGATCCTGGGATGAGCCTCTCCCTGGAATGAGGTGATCCTGGAATGAACTGATCCCGGGATGAGGTGCTCCTGGAATGGGGTTCACCTGGATTGAAGTGATCCCGGGATGAGCCTCTCCCTGGAATGGGGTTCTCCTGGAATGAGGTGATCCTGGGATGAGCCTCTCCCTGGAATTCGGTGATCCTGGGATAAAGTGATCCTGGGATGAGCCTCTCCCTGGGATTAGGTGCTCCTGGGATGAGGTGATCCCAGGATGAGGTGCTCCTGGAATGGGGTTCACCTGGATTGAAGTGATCCTGGGATGAGCCTCTCCCTGGAATTAGGTGATCCTGGGATTAGGTGATCCTGGGATTAGGTGATCCCGGGATGAGCCTCTCCCTGGGATTCGGTGCTCCTGGAATGAACTGATCCTGGGATAAGGTGCTCCTGGAATGGGGTTCACCTGGATTGAAGTGATCCCGGGATGAGCCTCTCCCTGGAATTAGGTGATCCTGGGATAAAGTGATCCTGGAATTAGATGATCCTGGGATGAGCTTATCCTGGGATTAGGTGATCCTGGGATGAGCCTCTCCCTGGAATCAGCTGCTCCCAGGATGAGTTTCTCCCTGGAATTCAGTGATCCCAGGATAAGGCCCTCCTGGGATAAGGGGATTCCAGAGGTTCTGCTGGACCGGGGTGGTTTCGGGATGAGGATCAGCCCGGCCTTGGGTGCCTCTGGAATGAGGAATTCGGGACGGGGCGCTCCCAGGACAAGGTTCTCCCGGGACAAAGTTCCCCCTGGGATGAGGCGATCCCGGAATCAGGCGCTCCCGGGATGAGCTTCTCCCGGGATCTCCGGGCTCAGGCGGCTCCCGGGCTCCTCTCAGCTCCCCAGGATGGAATTTTCCAGGCTCGGGTGCTCCCAGGACAAGGTTCTCCCGGGACAAAGTTCCCACAGTCAGGTTTCTCCCGGGATCAGGTTTTTTTCCCGGCTCCTCAGGCTGGAATTTTCCAGGCTCAGGTGTTCCCAGGATGAGGTGATCCCAGAATTAGGTTGCTCCCGGGATCAGGATTTCCTGGGATCGGTTTTCCAAGATCAGGCTCTCCCAGCTCCTCTCTCTCCCCTGCCCAGCAGGGAATTTTCTGGGATCGGGCTCTCCTGGGATCGGCTTTTCCTGATTCCAGGTTCTCCCGGCTCCCCTCAGGACTGGAATTCTCTCAGATCGGGCTCTCCCGGGATCAGCTTTTCCCGGGATCGGGCTCTTCCGGGCTGGAATTCTCTAGGATCGGGCTCTCTCGGCTCCTCTCTTCCCCTCCCAGGCTGGAATTCTCTGGGATCGGGCTGGAATTCTCAGGGATCAGCCTCTCCCGGCCCCTCTCCCTCCCCTCCCCGGGATGGAATTTTCCTCGGCCGAGGGACAAAGGGACAAAGTCCGGGAGCCGGGAAGGGGCCCTGGAGGGTCCCTGGGAACGGGATTCCCCCTCCCGGGGCGGGGCCGGGAGTGGGGAAAGATCCTCCCCATTCCCAGTGCCCTCATTCCCAGAGTTCCCATTCCCAGGATCCCTCATTCCCAATAACCCCCAGTCCCAGTCCCCTCCCATTCCCAGTGTCCCCTCCTGTTCCCATTATCCCCCATTCCCAGTGTTCCCATTCCCAGTGTTCCCATTCCCATTGTCCCCCCATTCCCAGTTCGCCCCCATTCCCAGTGTTCCCATTCCCAGTTCCCCCCCATTCCCAGTGTCCCCCCTCTTTCCCAGTGCCCCCATTCCCAAAATCCCCCTTTCCACCTCCCCTCCCATTCCCAGTGTTTCCATTCCCAGTCCCCCTATTTCCAGTGTCCCTTTCCCGTGCCCCATTCCAAAATGCCCATTCCCACCATCCTCCCAATTCCCCGTGTCCTCATTCCCAGTGTCCCATTCCCAGTGTTCCCATTACCAGTTCCCCTATTTCGTGTCCCAATTTCCAGTGCCCATTCCCAAAACCCATTTTCCACTATCCTCATTCAGTGTTCCCATTCCCAGTTCCCCCCCCCCATTCCCAGTAATAAATCAATTTTTGCCTTTATTTTTGTTTTTTTTATAATCATTTTTATTGATTTTTATTTCCTGCTTTTAATTTTCTTTACGTTTCATTATTTTTCGCCTTTTTAATTTTTATTTCTTATTTTTATTTCTTTATTTAATTTTGATTCCTTTTATTTTGATTTTTTTAATTTATTTTATTTTACACAAGTGGGCCGGGGGGGGAACCACAAAGATACCCCTCATGGGCCAACACAGAGGGCTTTTTTTGGACGAAGAGGCTCTTAAAAAATGTCTTTTTCCCTCACATTTCTCGCCATTTCCCCCTCACATTTCCCGCCCTTTTCCCCTCACATTTTCCACCCTTTTCCCCTCACATTTTCCACCCTTTTCCCCTCACATTTTCCACCCTTTTCCCCTCACATTTCTCACCCTTCTCCCCTGACATTTCCCGCCATTTTCCCCTCACATTTCCCACCTTTTCCCCTCACATTCCCCATCATTTTCTTCTCACGTTTCCCGCCCTTTTCCCCTCACGTTTCCCACCCTTTTCCCTTCACATTTCTCATCCTTTTCCCCTCACATTTTCCACGCTTTCCCCCTCACATTTCCCACCCTTTTCCCCTCACATTTCCCACCCTTTTCCCCTCACATTTCCTTCCCTTTTCCTCTCACATTTCCTGCCATTTTCCCCTCACATTTCCCACCCTTTCTCCCTCACATTTCCCGCCATTTTGTCCCCTCACATTTCTCGCCCTTTCTCCCTCCCGTTTCCCGTCTTTTCTCCCTCACATTTCCCAGCCTTTTCCCTCACACTTCCCGCCCTTTTCCCCTCACGTTTCTCACCCTTTCTCCCTCATATTTCCTGCCCTTTCCCCTCACGTTTCCCGCCATTTTCCCCTCACATTTCTTGCCCTTTCTCCCTCACATTTC